TATTCAAAACAGATGAAGAGGTGTAGAATTGTGCCCTCCGTTGACACCAACACTAACCTTAAGACTTTTTGGTCAAAGGCATACAGGCTCTATCCCACCCATGGGAGAAGTGTACACGTGTAAAGGGTTAAATTAGACAAAGTTTCATGAGTGTATCTCTTCTTGTGCCTTCTGTGGAATATAAAGTGCCATTGGACCTTGAACTCCCCTCGTACATTCCCGAAGCTAAATTCATCACTTTTAGGTTCACTTATTTTGAAACTATTAGAGATAGATAATTGATTTTTTATACATATATAACTAGGTGTTTCCTTAACATGTTAAACCATTTACATTTGCAAGATGTTATTTCAATTTTTATTTTTTTCACACATTATTTTATTGCAACTTACTGCCATATATCACAGATTTGATTGATTTAGTGTTGATAATACATATTCAGCATACCCTGTAAAATTTCTTCATTGAACAGTCCTGAAAAATGGCTGAGAAAAAAAGTGTACCTAAAATTCAAAATTTGTAATATGCCAAAAAATGCATGTAAAATTTAGTCTCCATCTCATGATTCTGTCCTCACTCATTTAGTGCATGCCTGCTCCATATTCTGGATCACATTAGTCCTCCTATTCTCTCACTTTTTAAAATAACTTATGGCTACCTATGAAATTAGTGCAATTAAGTGTATAAAATCTAGTTTTTTGCAAATGCAAAGTTTCAGAAAAATATGTATTGTGCCTCAACAAAACATAATTTACCAATAAAAGTATATATTTTCTTCTTCAGAATTAAACAGAGAATGAAGAGATAAAATAAAATTTAAATGTTTTTTCCCCAAATTTTCCCCTGACCCCTTAAGAGGCATAATTTTCCTCCAATAGGGGTGCAATTGACAAGGAAAATAGGGAAATTGCTGCATACTATATTCACATACCTGTTGCCTAGTCCCAGGCTTCAGACTGAACTGCTTTACTGTTATATAGTATATAGAAGCAATGCATATGTCCCAGGTGGCTCTCATTCCTCTAACTAGATTTTTGCACATTACAATCACTTTCTGCAAAGAAAGAGGGGAATGCATATTATGTCTATTTTGCTTGGGAAGGCCCCTGATGCTCCCAAGCTCATTGTTTTTTTTTCATGCACCCATATATGTTTTTTTAAATGCACAACTGAGATTTTTCCATCACACAAGGCATTGTAGCACTATATTACTCACAAATGTAGCTAAGTGGAGGAAATACTGTGCATAACTGATGTTGAAGCTTGTAACTAATTCAATTCTGTCATGAAATGCAACAATGCATTCATGGACTTCCTACATCTGAATTGTCACTCCTGAGCATGCTAGTGTCCATAGTCTTGGGATACATACAACATGAGACAGAAAGAGCCTGCATGTTATGGACAAGGACTAGGACCCACATGTCCAATGGAAGTTGAGGTTAATTCCAGTACTTTTACAGTGCTTATCGAATGAATTCACCCCCCCTGCAGTGGGCGGTGGTGCTGCTGGCTGTGAGAAGAGAGTGACATCTGTTTTCATTCCATAAACAGCTAAACTAATCACATTTGCGATCCCAGCAAGGTACTCAACTACCATAGACCAGAATGATACCTTGAAGGAGCTTTGCAAACTTGACATAATACAGCTGATCAGAACGAGCAGGAACCAACATTCCTTTAAAAAGTTCGAGTGAAGTGAACCTTGAGGAATGTCAGAGCACCTAAGTAAAAATGATATAGTCACCTTATCATCGACGCAATCACGAAATCAGTCATTTATATAATTCTGAAGCATTTAAAAAAACATATATGGGTGCATGAAAAAAAACAATGAGCTTGGGAGCATCAGGGGCCTTCCCAAGCAAAATAGACATAATATGCATAAACCTTGAGGAATGTCAGAGCACCTAAGTAAAAATGATACAGTCACCTTATCATCGATGCAATCATGAAATCAGTCATATATATAATTCTGAAGCATTTTTATTTTTACCTTATAATTTTATCATACATGAAAAGACATCTGGAAAAATTCACATTTCTCAATATTCCGGAAATCCGAAGATGAGTTAAACGAAATTTTAATTGTCGACTTTCTGAATCCTTCTCCATAGTCTTGGTTTTCACAGCTTTCCTTTCCCTTTCCCTTCTAGGAAAACTTCATATGGCAGGCGATCTACATTCGATGTACTTTTTACAAATAAGAAGAAATGGACTAGAATCCAGTTGATGCCTAAGTTAATGAATAAAACTGATCAAATGTAGAAATACAAGAAATTTGAGCATAGAATGGAATTTTTCCTTCCTCTGAGTCTAAATAATGATTATGAAACCCTTTGTTAGTCAATGGGTATCATTGATGTGATTAAAATGAATGAGAGAAAGAAGTTAGGGGCATGTTATTATCTCCCCAAAAGAGTCTTTCATAAATTAATATGATTTATTTTGTTGGAAGACTAAGCGAGATTTAAATGGAAAACTCAGAATGGATGAATACACTTTCCCCAACCGTTTAGAATGCAGGACATAGCGACATGGGCGACATCTACCTTGAATAGTTGTTATTAGCAGTTACAACATCCGCAGATGCGTCGTAGAAAAGCATGGCGAGTCATAGGAGCCCTTAGTAAGAGGGGGGTGAATTCATTCGATAAGCACTGTATGAGCACATGTCTTGTCTACTGGTAGATGCCATTACACATCATGTAAGCAGTGAATGGGTTAATTTCCAGTGGATAAGCTGCTTCAGTGATTACCTAGGTAACAACTGTTAGATGAAGAGATTGAAACAAAAATATGACTCTCCTCTCGGGGAGGGCATTTCACTGAAAATTCTATGCATTTTCTAAAAAAATTTAACACCTCGTACTCTTGTTTTCTTGCTTCAGGGAGTGATTACACATAATTCTGACTGCTTTGTGCAGGACTTTGAGCTTCTAGCCATAAATTATCATAACCCATTCAAGCAGGAGGTATCCAGAAAGTCATCCTTAAAGACTTCCTGTTGAAAATGTCAAATATCCTCAATGAAATATTTGAATTATTTGGGCTTAAATCATCATTATATGAACATATCATTCTTAAAATTGCTCCTTTGTCAGAGGACAGGCATTCATAGAAACATGAAGCCTGAAGTTCAATCTGAATCCTGAGTCCTTGATAAACAAAGGAAATTCACTGGGAGATGCATTAGACCATGTGAAGGAGTAAAGGGGACATTAAGTGCATATGAATTGCCTTTATTCCACAATGACAAACCAGTCAAACTTTGTCTCAACCTTGACCTAGTGAAATATTCATTGTTGTCTGCATATCACAAAGAACTTAAGCCTAAGACGACACTGCCTCCGAGATCATGAGAATGAGATCTGATTTGAATTGAAAAAAGAGAATAAAAGCCAAAGAAGACAGAAAATACAATACAGCATAAAGCTAACTCTCATGTCATTCAGCAGTTCAAAGAAAATTATTTTGTCCTTCAAAAGTAAGTGGCACCATACAATGAATGAGATTCCAAAACACATTTCCATGGTAAGGACAAGAAAAAGATTTGCTTATCCAGAAGCCCAACTTCAGGTACCCAAAAGTGCTCATAGCACTTTTGGGCACCTGAAGCACTTGGCACTTCTGGCACTTTGCCTCATTAAAGTGAGCAATGCAAAGCATACACAATGAGAAAATTCCAGAGAATCAACTCCAATCCAACTTAGAGCAAAACAAAAAAATCAATATGCTATTATTCCCAGGCCCACCTGACACAGTCCAGTTAGGCCAGACTGTCAGAGGGCAAAGGCATAAACACAGCCAACCCAAGTATAATGAAGGATTAAACTTTGTCCACAGAAGCTGCTTATTTTGATGACACTCTAGGGTGAACTATGAAAAGATATTTAAGCAATCTCATCTAATGGTAAGGAAGGTAAGGATAGGCTTTTATCAAAAAATTCAAAGCTGGGGGTGATTATGGCAGGGAATAAGTGGGAATCAAGAGATTCCCACTTGGCAAGCAAGAAATTCATGTAGGCCAGGGCTTTTCCTAGCCTTCTGTATTTCTCAGCACCATCTTGCCCTCTCAGGTTGACTAGATGCATTTGTACAAATGTTAACAGCCTTCTTGTGTAATTTACTAATTTAAAACCTATTATCCTCCATACCAAGAACATAATCACTGCACTTTGCATCATAACTTTACTGTATCACAGATCAGGACTGGAGATAAATTCTAAGTGCAGCCTATACCGAAGGAAAATGAAGTGATTTTGTTGCCATAAGCCTTGGAAAGGCTAATGGCATGCTTCATGACTTATAAGAGAAAATTAGGCAAGACATTTGAAGTCAAGGTGCACAAATTCAAAAGCAGGAGTATAACTCCTTGGGAAGAATCTCACATTATCTTGCCAAGTTTCTTTTCATTCAAGGATGAATAGGCAAGATATTGATCCTTAAACACCTCTATTCTTGACAGTCACTTCATTTACCTACAGAACACTCATAGTTCTTCAAACAAATAAATGATATGAAAACTTCCAGTCTCACAGCTCCATGCTCAACAATCTCCCATTCCAAGACTCAGCTATATTTGCAGTTCCATTTACAGCAACTACAGCTGTCATTCCTTTAACTGGTATGATGCAGGACTATTGGACCACCAAGGCTGAATTATTTGACCTTATCTGGACGGGGTATGAATGATATCGCCGATGGTCACATACAAGCAAACAGAGGAGTGTCTGTGCATGGTACACAGGGAATGCTGAGTGCTGAAATGTTACATGCAAATATGATTACAAGGACATTGGATGTGTAGGCATAGGATGACAAGAAAAAGGAAAGCCATATAATAGACTTGCAGCTTTAAGACCATTACATGATACTTCAGAATTGCCCCTCCTAGGCCTACTTCAATTTCCTCCTTGGCATCACAGTCACATGGCAGCACATTTGAGTCTAATTTATATGACTGACAGGTAATTACATAACATAATTCACCTTATAGAGTAAAATGGGAGTAACAATTCTGGCTTAGAATTGGTAAAAGAAACTGAAATGGATATCAGAAGTTCTCTCATGGAAAATGGACCAATGCTAAGCATGAAGGGCACTGAAAAATTATTGGTACCTGTGATGAAAATAGTAATGTTGTAAGAAGTAGCAGGCCAAAGCAGCAAGTCTACCATCTGGCTAAAGGGCAATAAAAAGTCAAGTGAGACTAGAACCTACACTTCGCTTGAATCAGAACCATTTGAGGCACGATTCTCTGAGGAGGGCTCACCGTTATGAGCTCCTTGCTTACATTCTTCATGTGCAAGAAGAGGAGATGAGACATCACCTTCCTCGTGAATCTCATCCAATCCAGAGCCATCAAATGCAGGAACAGTGACCTCAACCACTGTAGTTTCTTGGTGTGCAATAGTTTTATCATGATCACATTTCCCATTTCCAGACTCACTCTGGTGGGCACAGGAAGCTTGCCAACTGACAACACAGCCAAAGCTAGGTTGTCTTGTGTCATTCACTACCTTAGATGATGGGACATTCTGCACATAAATGACACGGTTATAAGCTCTCCAACGACGACAGAGTCGAAAGTACATCTTGCACTGAATGTACATGAACACCAGGCCCCCAGAGAATCCTATGGCCACAACAATGAGCTTAGTCCAAAATGGCCAAAGAAGGATTCCTGACTGAACTTCCTCAGCTGTGCGGTCTATCAAGATATATAGGGACCATACAACACAAGTTATAGCTACAATGTGAAACATTACTGAGCAGAATATCTTCCGTCGCTCAATAGTTGGCAAATCCAGTTTCTCCCACTGTAAAAGTTGAAGGCAAATATCATATCATGGGGGAAAATTAGACCAAGTTTAATTTTCAAAGATGTACAATGTATTAAGGCTAAATCACCTTGGAAAATGGCTTGGTCTTAGTATGCATGACGAATCCAAACCTGCAGAGTTCACAGGCTTTGATATCAGATGACTTGATCCACCGCTGAAGACATTCTTGATGCACATATTGCAAGGACCCAGAGCAGTAACATGGAGCAATCAAGGGAGCCTCATAGTCAGCCTCACAATGGCAAATTCTGTTAAAAAAAAAAAAAGAAGTCACAAGAAAATAGTCTACTCTGTTAAAAACAGTTATATATTGTAATAATCCCTCTCTCCTTGGCCATTTATACTAAGGGGAAAATGATCAGACCACTCGTATTAAATAAAGAATCCTATATCAGATGTCAGGTTGTTGTCTAAGAAGAATGCCCAAGAAGAAAGGGAGCATACCTCCTTTTCACATTAAACTGCAAATTAAATGTCTTGAATTCATTCAAGCACAACTGCAACTAACCTGCAGATATCATGGGTGGAAACATTGGAAGAGGTAGAAAAGGCTCTACCAGCACCTGCTAATGAACCTTCATGCTGTTTTGCATCCTCCTTTGTTGTAATAGAGCATTTCTCAGCATCTAAGCCAACACTCACATCTTCCTGATTTCCCATACCAGTTGGCTAGTGTGTCTGGAAGTAGGACAAGATGCTCTGTGGAGCTGAGTATTTCATATTAAGAACCAACATAAACCATTAGTGTGTAGGAAACCTGATTAACTAACACCATCTTTCAAGATTTAATCACATTTCACAATACAAGATCTGATTGCAAACAAGCATTGAGATCATTTGTTGAAGTAAGCCAACCAGATGCCATGGTGCCAGAAACTCATTCAGAAATTCTAAGGCCTCATTTCACATGCATAAAAAAGGGTTTGTGATATAAGAACATGATCCAAAAGTTAGGAGGCCTTTGGGGGGGTGTCATAGCAGGTAGATGCATGTACACACAAAAATTCAAGGATGCATACAAGATGATGAGGGTAAAGAAACATGGTTTGATATGTATGTCATATCATGGGAGGGGGTACCACTACAGCAAATGTTTAATATGACTGCAACCATGCTCAACAAGAGCCTTCATTTTGGATACATTAGCATTAGCTGTCGAGAGAATCTTTTGGGCATTGACTACACTAATATACACATTATATCCTTCAACCGGGGAGGGTAGTGGAATTCTCCTTGTAGATCTTAAGTGTCCCTATGATTGGAAGTCTCCAAGTGGAAAATCTGAGTCCTGTCTGACTAGCCATATGTGGGAAGAACTTGTTCAGAACTGCATTTAAAGGTGCATAAGAGGGTACCATCTCATTTTGACCAATGAGTGTAGTAGCAGCTGACTTTTGCCATAGGAGGGGACAAAGTTCTGTACAAGAGCCTTCCCAGAGATAGCTCACTTGCTCCCCAGATTTGACACCTGATTGTGGAAGCACCTAAAGTCTCAGTCAATGAGAGGAATCCCACGATGCTATCCGAAACAAAAGATATCCATATAGCATTGCAGTCAATACCTTACGATGCTACTGGCAGCTCTTCTAAAACCTTGTGTCCAGATTGAAGGCCCTTGTTGAGGGTGGTATAGCTGTATTTAACAACAGTTATAGTGGCACCCCCCACAACACGACCCATATCTTCAACCAAGTGACTTCACTTGCATCTGTTGCATAAGAATGTTCAGTCAGACACCCAACCACTACACTAACTGCAACCAGGATCCAAATGAATGCAGAGGGTTGGAAGATTAGAGACAAATGAAAAATATCAAAATATCACATCAAACAGGAATATTTATTACTGATTGAAAGGAGACCAACAACTCCAGGACATAAGGTCCCCTTCCTCAGGAGTATCTAAAAGAGGATGAAAAGATGTAGAGAACTCAGATAAAATGAAATAAAATAAAACATGACAGAATCAAAAGGGAGAGAGAAGATGAAAAATTAAATACCTAAGTGAGAACATGAAATGAAAGCAAATAAAAAAGATAGTCACAAAGCAAGTGCAGAGTATAGAGAGAAATAAATCAATAGTGACATATGGAAGGAAAGTGAGGTCATGGGGCTAGATTTTGGAGTCTCTTGCATGCATCCTAAAATTACACCATTGTGCATTCATGCGTGTGCTTGCTTCAACATCTCCAATAGGCCTCCTGACTTACAAAGCACTCAATAAATTCTTCTTTTAATTCCAGGAGAGAGAAAAGGGGAGGAGAAGCGATTAATACTTCTTCCTTCATAGAGAAAAAGATCAAATGCTAACTTTTGGAGGATCAAGTTGTTCTAAGTACGGTCAATTGGCCAGGAACTAGCAAGTTGAGTTGATAGTTGAAAGCTAATATCAGCCACGATGCTGGCAAAAAGCTCATCATAGTAACTTAAGAAATTCAACTTTGGTTAACCTAGCCAATCCAGTGAGAGGCATTCATAGGCCTAGGCTTATATCTGATAGCAAAACGCAGGCCTAGATTTATCGGGGCGTTTTTCCGTTTGAGGGAACGTGAAAATCTGGCTAACTAGAACCGTCTGACAGCATGTTATATTATACCAGACCTACTATATTTTTGAGATAGCCACAGACAAGCCAGAGTAGATAAAAAGCGAGATTCAGCTCATTAAAGGCGACAAAGAGTGTCTCTTGCCCCATGTTGGCGTGACCAGTGCTGCCATCATGCGGAAACTAGGCTAATTCCTCGTTTTTCCTGCTTTTCTCAGTATTTTCGGACTGACTCCCCCGCCCGTTTACTCAGTGATTTCACTTCCAATGTGTATCACCTTTAGCATTCTTCATGACGTTTCTATGGACAATTGGAAGATGAAATCCATAGGACCGTACAAGTTCTAAGTTGATATATATGCAGCACTTTATATTTTTAAAAAAGGTCAAGGCCATTCCCTTGAAGACCTATTTGGTTGAGGATCTTGGAAACTTTTCCCCCCATCTTTTCGTTGGACCTTTTTCATTAAGTGGTGAATATACATATTATAGATCTATGACCACTCCCATCTCAAGGTCTAAGTTGAGACATGAAGAAGCACTTCAGCATCTTTTGATATCTCGAGTCGATTTCGAACGCTTCAGCTACTCCTCATAAGATAAATGTATTTTGATGGGGAGCATGTCGATCAATAGCTACAGTGATTATCTTTTTTATTTGCTTTCATTTCATGTTCTCACTTAGGTATTTAATTTTTCATCTTCTCTCTCCCTTTTGATTCTGTCATGTTTTATTTTATTTCATTTTATCTGAGTTCTCTACATCTTTTCATCCTCTTTTAGATACTCCTGAGGAAGGGGACCTTATGTCCTGGAGTTGTTGGTCTCCTTTCAATCAGTAATAAATATTCCTGTTTGATGTGATATTTTGATATTTTTCATTTGTCTCTAATCTTCCAACCCTCTGCATTCATTTGGATCCTGGTTGCAGTTAGTGTAGTGGTTGGGTGTCTGACTGAACATTCTTATGCAACAGATGCAAGTGAAGTCACTTGGTTGAAGATATGGGTCGTGTTGTGGGGGGTGCCACTATAACTGTTGTTAAATACAGCTATACCACCCTCAACAAGGGCCTTCAATCTGGACACAAGGTTTTAGAAGAGCTGCCAGTAGCATCGTAAGGTATTGACTGCAATGCTATATGGATATCTTTTGTTTCGGATAGCATCGTGGGATTCCTCTCATTGACTGAGACTTTAGGTGCTTCCACAATCAGGTGTCAAATCTGGGGAGCAAGTGAGCTATCTCTGGGAAGGCTCTTGTACAGAACTTTGTCCCCTCCTATGGCAAAAGTCAGCTGCTACTACACTCATTGGTCAAAATGAGATGGTACCCTCTTATGCACCTTTAAATGCAGTTCTGAACAAGTTCTTCCCACATATGGCTAGTCAGACAGGACTCAGATTTTCCACTTGGAGACTTCCAATCATAGGGACACTTAAGATCTACAAGGAGAATTCNCCCCCCCCCCCCCCCCCCCCACACACACACACACACTGTGCCGGAAGCGGTAATGGTAATAACATAGCTCCCATTTCTGTCGCTAATGTAACCAAGGGCAGTATCTTGAGACAGCAGATGTCGCTCAGTTGGATTATTTGTGGCGTCATTCAGAAGAGGATAGAGTACAATCAATTGAAAAAACACCACTTAATGATCGCTACGTTGGCTGAGGAAAGTAATTTCCGCACGTTGAAACTATCCAAAAATCAACTTTACTTGGACCACGACGGGGGTTTATTATTGGTAAAGCTGAGCGAAATTTACAGCCATTAAGAATTATAAGTCCTCTGCGACTGTCGATAGATTTTGGCATACATCCCACAAATTTATTTATGATATCTTCAAGAATTCTAATCCACGTTTCTTCAAGAGCTACAACCCATTCAGCACAATGTTCTCAGCAAACACAAGAGCATTAGAGATATGCTAATATGACGTTCACTTCTAACGCTGTTCCAGCATTGCAGCGAACAGCGTTGAAATGTCCCATTTAGAAGCGTTCAAAACAACGTTAAAACCGAGAGCGTTGGATGAACGCTATTCCTACGTTCACTTCCCACACAGCACAGGTATATCCCAAAGATATCCCAGAGATATCCCCTTGGGACAAGTGCGATGTCCCAAAGACAAGGAGTAGGGACATCTTAGGGATATCAAAATGTCTGGGCCCAATGACATCCCAAGGATANTATCAAAATGTCTGGACCCAATGACATCCCAAGGATATCCCTTTCTTGAAGAAATAGCACATCCCAGAGATGTCCCAGGGATATCCCCATTGGGGCAAGTGAGAAGTCCCAGGTAGTACTTGTAGGGGCCTTATTGTCCGCAATGTATTCATTTCCTATCGCACAGGAGAACCCTTTGCTTTCGAAGATGTCTCTATTTTATCTAGGATCACCTAATCTAAAGTTCTTGATCGAATAAAGAGTGACGATTAAGAGGAAGGAAAATACCGTTCCTGAAGAGGGCCCCATCATAGGAGACACATCTCCAAGGGACGAAATTTAGCACTTTTACACGAGGGGCTAAGAATGGGTCTCATGCCTTTCAAACAGTATGGGCTCAGGCCTCCAACCAATATAGTTGTATCCAGACATGCCGATTAGACATCATTAATGTGAATATAAAGGAATAAATTAAAATTCGGACCGCAATTTTTTCACTTTCC